ATTAAATAATGCACCAAAGAACATATACTAATAACATGCAAAAAGTAGACAATATACCGTAACTCTCAAATCTTTTCTGGCTTTGAAACTATGCAACAAGAGCCATTACAAATTCATCCAAGCTAGTTGTTAACTTTTCCACGAGAACAAATCTTGTACTGTGAGTGAAATTGACGATATTCTGTTCAGAACACAATGTTATACAATATGTCACTTAATAGATGAAAACCTTGACTTTCTATTGGTTATAGGTAAAATATAATGAAATGTAAGAGAGAACTATCAATGAATTGTGAAAGAGAGGATGTGACATGTAGGTGGGGCAGGAGGGGTTTGATCTTCTATTCGATAGCTCTGTAACGCAATTGAAGGCTTTTAAAATTATGGTTTGTTTGAGTAATAATGATTTTATAGAGTATTTTACGCTTAATTTTGTACATTTTCAAGGAGTGGTAGATAAAATCGAAATGATGACATTGTAAGAGAAAATGTGTCACGTGGGTCACACTAGTGGAAATTCAGGATTTTTTAAATATTGCCTTGTAGAATTAAGAACTTGAAACTTGTATACCATTAAAATATGGATTATTAGCTAAGATTTTATGCTTTATTTAAACAAAGAGTAGTTTAATAAAATTTTGAATGTAAGACACCGAAACCTTGTGTCATATGCATAAAAGGATATCTGGGGCGATAGGGTTAAGTGCCACGTTTCAAAGTAAAAAATAGCAACCATGCTACAAATAAAATTATGATTATGTTTCCTTCAATGCCACTGATTTGATTATTGTTAATATCCTCAATCAAAAAAAGGATTTCCGTACCTGTCAAGCAATAGCATACCCTGGATGACCAAGTCTAGAAAACATATTACTATTAACCTTCATTTTTCAAACTCATCCTAATAATAAGAACTTTTTATATACTTCATAAACCATAATTTAATAATGATATATCTAAGAAATTTTACGTAAGTAAGTATTTATAACAAGCATCTGGCCATTAGATATCAATAACTGTCATGGTTATAGTATGTACAAGCACCTAACTATAATTATAATTAGTTATTTAGAAAAAAAGGTACTAAGTACTAATTAGTTTGAGCATTGAACACTGTTATTAAAAAGAATAAAAGTATCATCCACATACCTTCTGTACAGAAGGTATGTGGATGATACTT